CGCTCTTCCTCAGGAAATAGTGATCATTCTCCCAGCCCAGCTGGTCAGGGGTTTCCAGGGTCATCCCTGAGGTCAGAAGCATTGGAAAGATATAGGAGGTACTGAAGTTCCCCCACAGGTGAAACTCAAATATCCCCGCAGCCTCTGTGACCTCCTGCCCACAGGTTTCAAAGCCAAGACCGCCACACTTGACCAGGGCACAGACTTGAACGTAGTAAGTGCCGTGCACAGTGTGAAGGCCATCAAAGACCCCCAGGGCATACAGCTCCTTGGACAGAGTGGGCCTTTGGTAAAGCAAATGACAACAAAGGCTATTTGCACAGACTTGGAGGTAGCCTTCCTTGCCCCACACGGGAACCAGGGTGAAATTGTCATACATCATCTCAGAGTTAAATGTAGGAGGGGCATTCGTGTTCCATTTGGGGGCTCCATCACAGTGGACGTCCAGAGCATCCTTCTCAGAGTATGGATCCCCTGCCAATATTTTTAAAAACTTACTATGGGATGGGTCCATTTTCCCTGTGGCATTCCCTGTGCCAATGAGACCCTGTGGATTTTTGGCTACCTGAGCAATTATAAGGTGACCTTCGGGGCTTTCCATGTCATGGTGCCAAAAGGACTTCAGAGGGGTGTGTATGCCACTTCCCGTCATCCCCAGAGATGGATGGTGAATGTTCGCAGCCAGAAAGTTGACACCAAAGGCGATGGCGAAACCTCTCTGAATCTGAATGGCTGCCAAGAGTGGGAGCTGGTTCATCCAGGCGGTCGGATACACGACATGCTTCACCTCCGAGTCTCTGAGGAGCCTGACAGCAGGGTCGAAGAACAATATGTCAAAGCAAGTGAAGATGCCAAACTTGCCAGCAAAGGGGGTATCAAAGGTGATGCGATCCACTTCCAGGGGGGTATTGAACGCTGCTTCAAAGTAGAGGTTTTGTTTGCGGTAGCTGTCAACCAGGGTTCCATTACTGCTGAACACCACGTTCGTGTTATACTGGTATCTGCCATCATTTGGGCACCCTGGGTCACTGCTGTGACAAGGCTGCTTTGTCCCAAGATTGGCCACCAGGAACATCTCTCCCTTGACAGCCATACAACTCAGGCGCTGGAGGACCTAGAGGGAAAAAAAAAGTGTAAATAAAGGAAATTTTTAAACCCTGTCTTTTTCTTACAATTTTAAAATAGCACCTGTATTGTATCAATAATATATAAATAGCTATCATAAATCAATAAGAAAAAAGTAACCACTAATGAAAACGTGCAAAGGATATGAACAGGTGGTTCATAGATGAACAAATACAAATGGCCAACAAACATTGACAAGATGCTCAGTCTCATTAGTAGTAAGGAGATACAAATTAAAATGATAATGAGATATCATTTTTCACCTCTGTAAGATTGGCAAAAATTAAAAAGACTATTCTATCTTGCATTGACCAAAGGATGGGCAAACAGGCACTCATGCACTATTACTGGGGATGCAAAGTGCAATCAAAATCTTTTAAAGGGAAAACTTGGTGCTCTTTAAAAAATAATTTTTAAAAGTGCTTATCTTGGGGGGGCTCCAATCAATATGGTGGAGCAGAAGGACATGGAGCTTACCTCCTCCCACAAATACATCAAAAATACATCTACATCTGGAACAATTCTCACAAAATACCTACTGAACCCTGGCAGAATATCTCCAACACCCAAAATCGCAAGAAGGATCTCCACACAACTGGGTAGAGTGGGAAAAAAAAAGGAATTGGGACAGGACTTTTGCGCCTGGGAGGTAGCTGTGAAAGAGAAAAGGTTCCCACACTCTGGGAAGCCCCTTCACTGGAGAGGAGGATCAGCCAGGCCACTGCCCTGCGCTCCTCAGCCTGAGACGCACATCCACTGGTACGTGCTGGGGCTGGGTGCTGAAACTTGGGCTTCAGAGGACAGACCTGGGGAGAGCACTGCAGTTGGCCTGAAGGGGCTGGAGTGTGGTACGGGCTGCAACCAGCGGTATACATGGAGGAAGCCCGGGCCCTCCATAGAAGCGAAGAGCCTTTGTTAAGGAGCACAGAAGGGAGGGGCGAGCCTGCCATAGTAGCCTCACTTTCGGCATGCTCATGGCAGGTGTGCGCCGCCATTGAAACCCCATTGTCAACACGCATGTCAGCAAAGCGAGGGGTGGGGCCCACCACAGCAGCCTCTTTCCCCATGCGCTCCTCTACGAGCTCTGGGAGCGCGCTAGTGGGTTGCCCACATGCAGAGGTAGGGCTGAAATCTGAGCCCTCTCCCTGTGGCTGTGCAGATTTACCCTACTGGGGCCTGCTTTGTAAACTCAGCACCTGAGGGACACCCAAGTGGACAATGGGTGTTCCTGTGGCTGGGACAGGACTGGCCTTAGCATCTGTGGGCTTTGTGGGTGCATGTACATAGAGGCTGGGCCAGGGTCTGGGCTCCTTCCATAGCTCCCACAGCAGGTCCAGGTGCGTGATTACTGCAGTCTTGGTACCTGACTTCAATGGATTTGCACTGGTAGCCTTGTGAAAACAATGCCTGAGGGACATCAGGGCTGACTGCCAGCATTCCCAAGGTTGAGATGGGGCTGAAGGCGGTGCCAACAACAGTGTACTTTGTAAGCATACAACAGGTGACACCACAGAGCACCCTTACGGGTGAACAGCTCTGGCAGAGGAATATTCAGTGGATTCTCTCCCAGTGGGAGCGCTCCAATCCTGCCTACTTCGTAACCCAGCTCAGCAATGGATCCTAGGGGCTTCTACTCAAACAACTAGGGAGCAGACCCTGCTCAATACCCAGTGCAGGCTCTGGTCACCACAACACCACCACACCTCCTATCAAGGGCATAACGGCCAGCACACACTGAGGAAAGAGGTCGCAGGCATTCATAGTGAAAACAGCCCTCATACCAAAAAATATTAAACCCACACAGGCTACACAGGGACACTCCCACATAAAAATAGCCTTCCAGGACCACAGTAGATAATTGTTTCTCCCAAACTCACAGAGTAAGAGAAACATAAGTAAAATAAAGAAGCAGAGGAGCCACTCCCAATTAAAAGATCAAGAGAATTCCCCTGAAAGAACAAGCAATGAAACAGATCTCTTTAACAGACACCAAGTTCAAAAAGGAGATAATGAAAATACTAAAGGAATTAAGAAGGACTATTGATAGAAATGCAGATTACTGTAAAAAGGAACTAGAAACTATAAAGAGGAGCTAAGAAAAATTAGAAAACTCATTTGCCCAGACAAAAGCTGAGCTAAAGGCAATGAACAGCAGATTGAATAATACAGAAGAGCAAGTAAATGATCCAGAAGGTAGAATAATGGAAATCACCCAATCAGAACAGCAGACAGAAAGCCAAATTAAAAAAATGAAAGCAATATCAAAGACCTATGGAGTAATGTAAAACATGCCAATCTACACATAATAGGGATTCTAGAGGAAAAGAAAGAGAAAAGGGGATCAAAAATGTATTTGAAGAAATTATGGCTGAAAACTTCCCAAACCTAAAGAAAGAAACAGATATCCAGGTACAGGAAGCACAGAGGGTCCCAAACAAGGTGAACCAAAACAGACCTAAACCAAGACATACTATAATTAAAATGGCAAAAGTTAAAGATAGAGGATTCTAAAGGCAGCAAGAGAAAAACAAAGAGTTCCTTACAAGGGAACCCCTAAAAGGCTACCAGCTGATTTCTCTACAGAAAAGCTGCAGGCCAGAAGGGAGTGGCAAGCTGCAACCTAGGATACTCTATGCTAAGCTGCAACCTAGGATACTCTATGCTAAGCTGCAACCTAGGATACTCTACCTAGCAAGATTATCATTTAGAATAGAAGGAGAGAGAAAGACTTTCCCAGACAAGCAAAAGCTAAAAGAATACAGCAGTAGTAAACCTATCAAAGGGAAATATTGAAAGGTCTTCTCTAAATAGAAAAGAAGAAGGAATCTATAGGAAAGAGGAAAATCACAATTGGAAAATAAATCACTTAAATAAGCCAGTACACAGATTAAAAAAAATTCTGTGAAAGCAATGATAACCACAGTGAACAGCAAACAGATGAATATGAAGGTGTAAAATCATAAAATAATTAAAATCATAAAATGTGAAAGAGGAGAGTATGAAAACGTAGGTTATTTTTCTAGAACATGTTTCAGTCTATATGACTACCAGTGTAAAGCAATTAGGTATGGGAAGGGGTTAATGTGCTTGAAATACAGGGTAACCACAAATCAAAAACATACAGTATATTCACAAAAACCAAAAAGAAGAGAACATAAGCATAATACAAAAGAAAATCATCAAACCGCAAAAGGAAAAAGAAAAAAGAGCAAAGAAGAAATTAAAAAATCAAGTAGAAAACAAGTTCTCAAGTGGCAATAAATACATATCTATCAACAATTACCTTAAATGTCAGTGGACTAAATGCTCCAATCAAAAGACACAGAGTGGAAGACTGGGTTAAAAAACAAGAGCCTACAATATGCTGCTTACAAGAGACTCACTAGGGCAAAGGACACACACAGGTTGAAAGTGAGGGGGTGGAAAAATATTTCATGCAGACAGAAATGACAGGAAAACAAGGGTCACAATACTCATATCAGACAAAACAGATTTTAAAACAAGGGCCATAAAGAAAGATAAAGAAGGACTCTATATAATGACAAAAGGATCAATACAAGAAGAAGATATTACACTCATCAACATATATGCACCCAATACAGGAGCAGCCAAATACATAAAACAAATACAGACATAAAGGGAGAAACTGACAGGAGCACAATAATAGGAGATTTTAACACCCCACTCACATCAATGGACAGATCTTCTAGACAGAAAATCAATAATGGCAACAGAGATTCTAAGTGATACAACTGAACAGCTGGACTTAATTGATATTTTCAGGATATTAAATTTTTTTAAAAAAAGCATTCTTTTCAAGTGCACATGGAACACTCTCTAGGACTGACCACATACTAGGGCACAAAATAAGCCTCAACAAATTTAAGAGGAAAGAAGTTATTTCAAGCATCTTTTCTGACCACAATGTCATGAAACTAGAAATCAACCACAGAAAAAAAAATGAGAAAAAAACAATTACATGGAGACTAAACAACATGCTACTAAAAAACCAATGGGTCAACAATGAAGTCAAAGATTAAAAAATACCTTGAGGCAAATGACAGTGAAAACACAACCATACAAAATCTATGGGATGCAGCAAAAGCAGTTCTTAGAGAGAAGTTCATAGTGATACAGGCCTTCCTCAATAAACAAGAACAATCTCAAACAACCTAACCTACCACCTAAAAGAATTAGAAAAAGAAGGGCAAACAAAACCTAAAGTCAGCAGAAGGAAGGAAATAATAAAGATCAAGAGGAAATGAATAAAATGGAGATTAAAAAACAATAGGAAAAAATCAATAAAACCAAGAGCTGGTTCTTTGAAAGGGTAAACAAAATCAACAAACCTCTGCTCAGGGTCACCAAGAAGAAAAGAAAGGGGACCCAAATAAACAAAATACGAAATGAAAAAGGAGAAATAACAATCAATACTGCTGAAATACAGAAAACCATAAGAGAATACTATGAACAGTTATACAGCAACAAATTGGACAACTTAGAAGAAATGGACAAGTTTCTAGAATCATACAGCCCACCAAAACTGAATCAAGAAGAAACAGATAATCTGAACAGACTGATCACTACAAGTGAAATAGAATCTGTAATAAAAAAAAAAAGAAAAGAAAACTTCCTACAAACAAAAGTCCAGGACCAGATGGCTTCACTGGGGAATTCTGCCAAACATACAAAAAATAACTTATACTGATCCTTCTCAAACTATTCTAAAAGATTGAAGAGGAGGGGCCATTCACAAAGACATTCTATGAAGCCACCATCACCCTGATACCGAAACCAGATGAAGCCACTACCAAGTAAGAAAATTACAGGCCATTATCTTTGAGGAATATAGATGCAAAAATTCTCAGCAAAATATTATCAAACTGAATCCAACAAAACATAAAACAGATCATGCACCACAACCAATTTAGCTTCATCCCAGGGTCACAAGGATGGTTCAGTATATGCAAATCAACGTGATACATCAACAAAAGACAAAAAACACATGATCATCTCAATAGATGCAGAAAGAGCATTTGATAAAATTCAACATCCATTCATGAAAAAAACTCTCACCAAAGTTGGTATAGAGGGAACATATCTCAACATAATAAAAGTTTTTTATGACAAACCCACAGCCAATATAATACTCAAAGGTGAAAAGCTGAAAGCCTTCCTGCTAAAATCTGGAACAAGACAAGGATGCCCACTCTCACCACCTGTATTCAACATAGTACTGGAAGTCCTAGCCACAGCAATCAGACAGGAAAAAGAAATAAAAAGTATCTGAATTGGAAGGTAAGAGGTAAAACTGTCATTATGTGCAGATGACATGATACTATATATATATATATAGTCTATAGTAACACTAAAGACTCCACACAAAAACTACTAGAACTGATAAATGAATTCAGCCAGGTAGCAGGATACAAGATTAACATACAGAAATCAGTTGCATTTCTGTACACTAAAAATAAATTATCAGAAAGGGAATGTAAAAAAAAAATCCCTTTTAAAAGTGCATCAAAAAAAATCCCAAAACTTAGGAGTAAACCTGACCAAGGAGGTGAAAGACTTATATGCTGAGAACTATAAAACATTAATAAAGGAAATTGAAGATGATTTAAAGAAATGGAGGGACTTCCCAGGTGGCGCAGTGGTTAAGAATCCACCTGCCAATGCAGGAGACATAGGTTCGAGCCCTGGTCCGGGAAGATCCCACACACTGCAGAGCAACTAAGCCCGTGAGCCACAACTACTGAGCCTGCGCTCTAGAGCCTGCAAGCCACAACTACTGAGCCCATGAGCTGCAACTACTGAAGCCTGCACGCCTAGAGCCCTTGCTCTGCAACAAGAGAAGCCACTACAATGAGAAGCCTGTGCACCATGACGAAGAGTAGCCCCCGCTCGCCACTAGAGAAAGCCCATGTGCGGCAACAAAGACCAAACACAGCCAAAAATAAATAAATTAATTTTTTAAAAATAATTTAAAAAAATAAAGAAATGGAAAGATATCCCATGCTCTTGGATTGGAAGAATTAATATTGCTAAAATGGCCATACCACCCAAAGCAATCCACAGATTTAATGTAATCCCTATCAAATTACCCATGACATTTTTTCACAGAACTAGAACAGATAATCCTAAAATTTATATGGAACCAAAAAAGGCCCAGAATTGCCAAAGCAATCCTGAGGAAAAAGAACAAAGCTGGAGGCATAACTCTCCCAGACTTCAGACAATACTACAAAGCTACAGTAATCCAAACGGCATGGTATTGGCACAAAAACAGACACACAGATCAATGGTACAGAATCAAGAGCCCAGAAACAGACCGACACACCTACAGGCAATTAATCTTTGACAAAGGAGGCAGGAATATACAATGGAAAAAAGACAGTCTCTTCAGCAAGTGGTGTTAAGAAAGCTGGACAGCCACATGTAAATCAGTGAAGTTAGAACACATCCTCACACCATACACAAAAATTAACTCAAAATGGCTTAAAGACTTAAATATAAGACATGACACCATAAAACTCCTAAAAGAGAACATAGGCAAAACATTCTCTGATAGAAATTGTACCACTCTTTTCTTAGGTCCATCTCCCAAGGCAACAGAAATATAAGCAAAAATAAACAAATGGGACCTATTCAAACTTTATAAGCTTTTCTACAGCAAAGGAAACCATAAACAAAACGAGAAGACAACCTACAGACGAGGATAAAATATTTGCAAATGATGCGACTGACAAGGGCTCAATTTCCAACATATACAAACAGCTCACACAACTCAACAACAAAAAAACAACCCAATCGAAAAATGGGCAGAAGACCTAAACAGACATTTCTCCAAAGAAGACATACAGATGGCCAACAGGCTCATCAAAAGATGCTCAACATTTCTAGTTATTAGAGAAATGCAAATCAAGACTACAATGAGGTAGCACCTCACACCGGTCAGAATGGCCACCATTAAAAAGTCTACAAATAACAAATGCAGGAGAGAGTGTGGAGGAAAAGGAACCCTCTTACACTGTTAGTGGGAATGTAAATTGGTGCAGCCACTGTGGAAATCAGTGTGGAGGTTCCTCAAAAAACTAAAAACAGAACTACCACATGATCTAGCAACCCCATTCCTGGGAATATAACCAGACAAAACTATAATTCAAAAAGAAACATGCATCCCTGTGTTCACAGCAGACCATTCACAGTAGCCAAGACATGGAAACAATCTACATGTCCATCGACAGATGAATGGATAAAGAAAATGTGGTATGTGTGTATAGATATATACACATATACATACACACAATGGAATACCACTCAACCATAAAAAGAATGAAATAATGCCATTTGCAGCAACATGGATGGACTTAGAGATTATCACACTAAGTGACGTTAAGTCAGAAAGAGAAAGACAAATACCTTGGACATCATTTATATGTGGAATCTAAAATATACACAAATGAACTTATCTATGAAACAGAAAGAGACTCACAGATATAAAGAACAGACTTCTGGTTGCCAAGGGGGGCTGGGGAGGGATGAATTGAGAGTTTAGAATTAGCAGATGCCAACTACTATATATAAAATAGATAAACAAGGTCCTACTGTACAGCACAGGGAACCATATTCAATATCCTGTGATAAACCATAATGGAAAAAAAGAATATAAAAAATAGTGAATATATGTAAGTATAACTGAGTCACTTTGCTGTACAGCAGAAATTAACACAACACTGTAAATCAACTGCACTTCAGTAAAATAATAAAATTAAAAAATAAAGATGTCAGTATCTATGAGATGCATAGAAAAGAATATAGGTGGATGCACTGACGGCAGTTTGTCTAGAAAGGGAGGTGGACGAGGGATGGGGTGTGGTGAAGGTGGGCTTTCATTTTATTAACTTTGATTAGTTGTAGAAGCATATATTCATGCATTTCTTGTGTGATTAACAAATAGAACGATCCACAGATGAGTAAATGCCTCATAATAGCGGACATTTTTAAGCGAATGACTGGCACAGGAGCTCGGGTTTGGTTCTCAGGCCCCTGAGGGCTCCTGTCACTCTCATTCAACATGTCCTGGCTCTTGGCCCCTGGCTTGGTTCATCTCCGTGAGCCTCCCACCTCCTGAGGAGGAAGGCTGGTCCCCTTACATACTTCCGTGTCATGGAATCGGTGGGGCTCCAGGCATGGGTTCCACCTGACCAAGTGGGGAGAAGGCATGAAGTCCAAAAACGGGTAAATGGATGTTCTTGTAAAGTTGAATCCATGGATGCCATCTTCTGGAAACACTATAATCTGTACACCCTGCAAGTCAAAACATCAGAAATAGTCTGTTAACAGATAACGGGAAGCACCCCTTCATTCCTCTGACAGCCGCCCTGCAGCTGCTCTGAACCAGGAACCACAGAGGTCCAGACGTGGTAGCTGGGCTCGGCAGGGATCTGAGCCTTGGGGGAGCCGTCTCACTTGGCCTAACTCTGAGGGAAGAGAGACCAAGTCTTCTAGGGACCAGCACCACACTGAGGGCTGGCCAGGGAAGAAGGTTACAAGTGGGTTTGGAGGGGTTTGGAGTTGGTGGCGGTGCCATGGGAGATGGAGCGGTGACTATAACAGGCCTGAGTATCAGGCTTAGCAGATGTGCTACCTCTAGTCCGGTGGGTGGTTTTCAACCTTCATTGTGCTTCTAAATCAGACAGGGGACTTCTGAAAACACAATCTTTGCTCAGCAGTGATGCTTGGGCCCATCCCTAAAAAGTCTGCTTCAATCAACTGTGGGTGGGGTCCCGGCAACAGGTCCTCACGTGATTCTAATGGGCCCCAGTGGGCTGGTGGGTGAAAGTCAAGTGCATTGATTTCAGCATAGGAACCAGGACTTGCTCTAAATTGCATTTCTCCCATTGGGAGTTAGGAGACTCCCATCAGAGCCCTGACCGCCCTACAGGCCTTCTCCCACACCTGGAGACACTGGGGGTCCTTGCCTGTGACAGCCCGAGGCTCTCTGTGACAGTGGCAGCAACCTGAGGAAACCCAAACAAACAGGACAGCCCTCAGCTCCCAGTGCCAGGGCCCCTTCGGCTACAGCTCTGCACTTGCTCGGCTGAAAATGTTAAGTCTTGAGCAGCATCACCCCACAGTGAAAGGTGGAGGAGGATAGCAGAGCAGGCATGAATAATCTAAAATCACAGGCAATTTGAGTCACTATTTCTGAAATGCACTGCAAACTCCTTACAATTTTTTTCCTGGTTATAAAAAAATTTTCAAAAGTTTAAGTGTAGAAAATTTGGAAAACACAACATAAAGGAAGAATTCATAATCCTATATCATGAAGATACTTATTGTTAACATCTTGCCTCTTTTCATTTTTTCCCCCTCTCTGTATAGGTGTGTGCGTGTATAATTGAGACAATAATAAACATACGGTTTTCCATCTTAACTCTCTCACTACAGAGCATCAAGACTATAAAGACACCTTCAGAAATATCGCTTGTATTATATGCTGGATTATATTTAAGAGAACACCACAGTTTATCCTCTGTTATTGGGCATTTGAATTGTTCCCAACTTTTTGTAATAAAAAAACTGTGGTGACCATCTGTGTACAGGGTGCTCAAAACACTTCTTGAATGAGCGTTGTACACAAATCTTTGATTGGAGCTCTGATTATTTCTTTAGAATAAAGCCTTATAAGTGAAAATACTGAGTCAAGCGTATGAAAAATTTTAAATTCTTAATATACGTTGCCAAGTAGCTTTCCAGAAAGCTTACAGCAATGTACACTCCCTCCAGCAGAATACGAGGCTGGTCATCTTATTGCACATTAGAAAGAAAAATGATCACAAACTTGGAAATAAAGCAAGACGAAGAATTTATGTATACATTCTTTGTATACGTATATCTTTCTACAATATACCAGGGTACTGACAAGCACACTCGAGGATTATTCATCTAGTGAATGTATCACTGTTTGACTTTGCTATTTAATAAAACACCCTAAACATGACAGTTTTATTGCCCTGTACGACATTAGCCTGTTTTGTATCTATTAGCAGATTCATTTCAACATTCATTTGACTGATGGATACACTCACATCTGTTCCTCAAGTTATCTTTTGAACCAGCTTTACCATCTTACTGGTTCCTGAGTTAATTAATGAGTTAAATAAGAGCTTTGACACATGTCCATTCTTCTCTATGTGTAAGAGTCATGTTTCTAGCTTTTTGAAAATTATACTTGGACCCATGTTTTCCTTTATTAAAAACACAACTTTGAAAGCACTGAATGGTTTCCTATGGACATTAACAGTTATGGATACATATTAGATTAATATTCAAATTAAACTGCATTTCCTGAATATACATCTGCCCAGAATGAGGACTCAGACTTGAGCCGGGACAGAATTTTGGGTCTGATGTGATTACTCATCCATTCTAGGAAGGAATCTGCATTCCTGATAAAGGGCTTGAGCAATTTTCTGACAGACCAGTGAGCTCAAGAACTCCTGGGGAATTCCGGGTGCCAACCCAGCTGACCACCCAGCCTAATATCTTTAAGCGCAGCTCCTTTTCTTCCCTGTAAATGAGAGAACTCAAGCGAGAACTCATTTAATTGGCCTGCAGGAACCTCTGCCCTTATAGCAAGTTTGATATAAAACTTTGACACATGCATGGCATCAACCTGTGTTAGAGGTTACTTTAACACATATAACCACGTAGGGGAGCTGAGATGTCTGTAAGCCCTAAAAAATAACTGGATCAACAGCTTTGTACCTGCTCCTGGACCACAAACAGAGAAGGAATGATGCCTGCTGGCAGCATGGGTTCAAGAAAAACATATGTTTCATTTGGGGGCAGGTGATTAAAATGCAGGGGAAATCTGCAGTCACAGTCTCTGGGTTTCAGTATGGCATCTGCCAAGTGTCTTAGCATGGTCTTGTGGACAGGATGAAGAAGGGGGTGACATTTCAGCTGCCTGCAAGTCAACACCTCCATGCAGAGAACGGACCTGTGTCAGGAGGAGGCCTGCGGGCACGGGCTGGGATGTTTTTACACCGGCTTCAGTGCAGACACAAATGAGGTATGTCCCAGAAGTGTGAATGACGTGAAGGTAACAGATATGCAGGATGTCTGTCAGTAAAGATCCCCAAATAGCCCACCAGGATGAAATTTAATGGCATAAATGTGAGGCTTTGCTCTCGGATTAAATAAATTAACCTTACAAGTACAGGACAGTCATGGCAGCATGTGTGTCTGTGTGAAAAGGGCTCAGGAGCTTTGGCTGACAGCAAGCGCCTGATGAACCCACAGCAAGGTGTGGCTGCCAAAAGCTTTCCTTCTGGGGACAACACCTAGAATGAGAACAGTGGCAGGTTTCCTCCGCCCTGCCCTCGACAAAACCGCATGCAGCTCAGGGCACCGATGTAACCCAGAAAGTCTTGGGGGACAGGGCTGGAACCGCAACCCTCAGGGAACTGTGGATGGGACTGGAGAGACACAGCCTGGGAGAGATGCTGGGGCCATCTCAGATCTGGGAAAGATGGCATGTGTGGGATGGGATTCAGTCTGTTCTGTTTGGCTAGGAGGACAGGACGATGGGTGGCAGTTACAGGGAGACTGATTGTTGCTCATGGAAAGGAAGCCCTTTCCAGAAGTTCCCACTGTCCTCAAGTGGACAGTAATTCCTGGGCCACTGGAGGCGTCCAGGGGAAGCTGGACGTCGGGCTGGGAAAAAAAGAGCAGTGTCACCCATCAGAACAGCTGGACCGGGCCTTTAAGCGCCCTTCCAACATTTGTGTGTTAACATATATAGGTAATACAGGTTACATTTTAAAACGTAGCGACGGCCAGTGGTTGTCCAGGCAGTGCTGACCACCCTGAACAGAGACGGGGGCTGTTGGGGCAGGACCTGCAGGCACCACAGTTCTGCCCGCTTAACTCACAGACACGGGCCGTTCCGCTCGCAGGGAGCCCGCCTGCTGTCCGGGCAGGGCGGAGCGGGGCTTCCTCAAGCAGCCGGGCAGGTCCCCCGCCCCCGCCGGGGCTCAAGGCCAGACTGCCCTCCCAGCAGGCCATTTTCCTACAGAGACTTCTGGCTCCCACACCTCCCCGTCTGCCCCACCCTTCCCGGCAGGAGCGGAAAAGGGGCCGCGCAGGAAGCCTTCACAAAGGCGGCACCGGCGTCCTTTGTCCGCTGGGCTGGGTTCTGTCTGGACTGAGCTCTCAGGCTTCGGGGTCTGGCGCGGGGACCAGAAAGGAGCCCCACGTCATCGGGAGGCAGCAAACACAGCTCTGGGGCCCGCTTACTACTTTAGTTATCCTTGAAAGCCTCCGAGAGCATGAGAGGCCGTCGTGCCTGCTGGCTTTCAGATGTTTCTGCACATCTGAATTCACCCGGGAACCTTAAAAAATCCCAGTGCCCTGGCACGCTCCCCAGCTGACTCTGCAGGCGTGGAAGCTGGGCACACACATTTGTTCACAAGCAGCCGAGTGATTCTTCTGGCACCGCCATGTGCCTGGCCCTGGGCTTCCCAGGCTGGAGGGGAAGCATCACCTGGGGAATCTTGCTAAAATGTACATTCTGACTCAGCAAGTGTAGGGCAGGCCCCAAATTCTGCACTCCTCCCAACCCTGGAGGGTCTGCTGATGCTGCAGACCACCCTCTCAGTAGCGGGACTCCAGCCAACTGACTCATTCAGCTCATCTTTACTGGCCGGGCTGATTTCCCAGGGGGAAATGCAACACCCAGGGCTAATCTGCCCTGCTCTGCAAACAAGCTGACCCGGGAGCACTTCTTGCCTTTTGGGCTGCGATCGTCACTTGCTGTTCATAGATGTCGAGGTTCTGGTTCATGAGCTCCAAGGCCTGCTTGCGGCTGGTGAGGGCCAGCGGGTTCGGGCTCAGGATGGACCGGTGCTCGTACACGGCAGCCACGTACTGGGCAGCCTGGTGACGCTCCGCCGGGCAGCGCTCCTTGGCCTGGGCCCCCAGGGCAGCCACGCAACAGCCGCAGAGCAGAAGAGCGAGCTGACGGCTGGCTCCAGACATAATGCAGACCATCAACCTAGAACGCAATGGGGCAAGGAGAAAACAGCTGAATCCAGATTCCCACCAAGATTGGGCCTGCGCAGCTCTGATTTATTAATGCCGGCGATCAGACTCACCGGCTGTGATGCTGCAGCTCAGAGACTTTGTTTCAGGTTCCTAATAAGAGGGTATGTGTTTCTCTCCAAACACGTAGTGAGTTACGTTGAAAATGGCTCACTGGGTTAACAGTCTGGTTTTAGAACATTTCCACAACAGACCCAATGTTTGCCACGATTTGCTTCCCCAGCAGGACTCTTCTAGGTGCACACTTCAGATTCAGGCAATAATAACTATTCTAATTATTTTAGATAACTCTGTGACATACTGCACACCCCACCGCCTGCCCTCAATACACACAAACATACTACAGGTCAGCCATCTATACCAGCTGGGACTGTCGTGATCCTAATAATACAGCTCGGCTATCTTAGCCATAAAAACCTGATGGATGACAATTCTCCCTGCCTTTCTTTGGTTAGTGACAAATATAAAGCGTAAGCCTCCCTTTACCCAGTACCACATTCTTTAACTTGGTGCAGAGAAACTGCTGACTTCTACTTAAATGCCAGTTTATGGACAGTCAAAAAGAAGTCTCCCCATCAAATCATGACTTTTTCCCCCTCCTTGAACTTGAGAATTGCCATTGCACACCATCACCTTCTCAACCTCTGTCTCTGGGACTTCAAAACTCCTGCTCAAAAAAATCATACTCATGTGGAAATAAAATCCCTTTGCAGTAATAAAATGCAACTTTCTAGAAAATAAACTAGAATTTTCTAGAAAGTATACTCAGCTTTGTAGCTCCTACCATAAGAGATTAGAAGTAAACTTTCAATGACACTTCTGTGTGCCTTTTTTCCCCAAGAATAGGCATTTTAATTTCTAAAAGTTATGTGTCACTGGGTGTTTTTACACACAGTTCTGCCTTGAAAATCGGCTTGGCCTCCCAGCCACAGTCCCTCCCCAAGCACACAGACTTGCCAAGCAGTGCCAAAGCCAGGCCCCGTGCTCTGTGGAGATGTGCCCGGGCCGACCAATTGCCCAGGAATCCAACTAAATGTCAAGACAGCAGAGACAAATCGAGGAACCACATTGCTGCTCTTTAAAGACAAAATGCCACCCTGCCCAAGTCTGACTCAGAACCCCCGTGTTTGCATTTCAAAACCAGACCCCCCCGGGCCGCCACAAATTTCTTTTTCTCTCACAGTTCCAGAAACAAAAGCAACCATAATTATTTTCAGCAGCAGACCACGGACTCCGGGGTGCTCAGTCAAATTCCCCGCAAACTCAGATACTTCTCAGGGTGAGCAGCGCTCTCCATCCCAACCCCGCCCCGTCTCAAACTGTCACTTCTCTCCTCAGGGAAGAAATGTTCCATCCAAATGCCAGGCCCCAGGGTGCGCAGTCTGGGGCACTGTAAGCAGTGTTGGAAGATCAGATCAAGACACCTTTGCGTGAGCGGCCATGAGCTTTTGAGTAGAAACGGAAGTATAACTGATAAGCTCTCTTATCTGAATTTTGCCTCTGAAGACCAGCAAGGAATAATTTTTTTTGAATTTTATTTTATTTTTTTATACAGCAGGTTCTTATTAGGTATCTATTTTATACCTATTAATGTATATATGTCAATCCCTATCTCCCAATTCATCCCCCCAGCCCCGCTTTCCCCCCTTGGTGTCCATACATTTGTTCTCTACATCTGTGTCTCTATTTCTGCAGTTCAAACCGGTTCATCTGTACCATTTTTCTAGGTTCCACATATATGCGTTAACATACAGTATTTGTTTCTCTCTTTCTAACTTCCTTCACTCTGTATGACAGTCTCTATGTCCCAGAAAGGAATAATTTTTAAAGTCTCAAAATCGGTTTCCCATTCCAGCTCTGGATTCAGAATGATGATAATGGAGAGTGGTTTGAGGGGAAAACTTTCATCTTCAAAGTCAAATTCGTAATATTTCTAAAGTATAAGGCCATGGCCTCACTAAGAGGCGGGGAAACAAGGCCGGGTGCGGGGGGGAGCACATGAACCAGGACCCAGCGGGGGCAGGTCAGGAGGTCCTGGAGCTGAGAGCAGCGTTTGCGGGGCCCTCTTTCCTCAGCTAAGAGCTGCATGCCGCTGATGCGGGGACAAAGAACATTCATTTAAATCTCAGGGACTGGGCTTCCCTGGTGGCGCAGAAGTTGAGAGTCCGCCTGCCGATGCAGGGGACACGGGTTCAAGCCCTGGTCTGGGAAGAACCCACATGCCGCGGAGCAACTAAGCCCGTGTGCCACAGCTACTGAGCCCGTGTGCTACAACTACTGAAGCCCGCGTGCAGCAATGAAGACCCAAGGCAGCCATAAATAAATAAATAAACAAAATCTCAGGGCCTTGCAGTCCAGCAAAACAAAGAAATTGCGGAACCAGCAAGATATCCCCTTTCTTTCTATTTTGAGAAAATAAATTTAGATTATTTACAAAAAGAGCCTGGTAGGAGAGCCATGAGTGGCAATCATTTCTGCGTGAACAGAGGAAGGTCAATAATAAGGGGTTATGCAGATTCAGCCAGGTATTCCCCCTTGAAAGAAGCAAGCCTAATGAGGTAGGAGAGAATGAGTCATTAAAATAAAAATAGGCACCACAGTGCACCCTTGCTGAAGAGTGGTGTTCTGGTTTTCCCTCTCTACGTGGCAGGGGCTTTGAAAGGCCTGGATGGCAGCAGGGGGTGCTGGCAGGTGACAGGATGCTAGGGCACAGGTGGCCCAGTGCTGGCTCAGGACGGTGCACTCACCGAGTGGCTGAGGGGCCGGGGTCTCCCTGGGAGTCACGAGGTTCTTGGCGATCCAGCAACAGATCCACCTGCAGAGCAGGGCAGGGCCTGGACCATAAACAGAATGGTGGCTGGAGATGTGTGCTCAGTCTGAAAAGCTAGCTACAAACCTCCTTCCATTGTAGGCATTTGACGGGAGTCTAAACTCCAGGAAGGGCCCAGTGTGAAGGCACCACTGAGGTGACAGTGTGCTCCCACATCCTGCTTCCTGAGCTCCACTGAGGCGGGGGCGGGAGACAGCAGGGCCGGGAGCGCGCTCACTTTAACATCCACGTGATACCCGCCTGTGCCAGACGGAGGTGCAGGCGTCAGGGACCCAGCAGTGAAAGTGCCTAGCCCTTCCGAGTGGACCCTCCCCATGTATGCGGAAACTGCCACAATCAACACAGATCGTCCCCCTACTCGTGATGGTTCGACTTTACGATGGTGCGAAAGCCATATGCGTTCAGTGGAAACCGTGCTCAGAATTCAGAATGTGGACTTTCCCTGGGGGTCCAGCGTGCAGTACGACCCTCTCTCTGATCCTGAGCAGGGCAGCTGCAGCCCCCAGTCACGGGGGTGAACAACTGATACACTGACAACCATCCAGACCCGCACTCCATTCTGTTTTTCCCTTTCAGTGCAGTATTCCATAAACTCCGTGAAATAGTCAACCCTTTATTATAAACTACGCCTTGCGTTAGAGGGTTCTGCCCACGTGCAGGCTAATGTGAGTGTTCTGAGCACGTGTGAGGTGGGCGGGGCTGAGCTGGGACGTCCGGGAGGCTGCGTGTATCACATGCATTTTTGACTCATGATATTTTCAACTCACGATGGGTTTATTGGGACGTTAACCCCATTGTCATTGCCAACTGACTGCACCTAACGTGTCATTTGGCAATAAGTAAGAAGGAGCCATAAAGACGGGGAGGGGGCAGGGAGGGCCTGGCGTGGGTTGGGGCAGGTTTTAGACCAGGACGGGCTCCAGGAGAAGCCGGTGTCCGAAGAAGGTGCGAGAGGAGGCCTGTGGGTGCCGGGGGAAGAGGGTTCCAGGCAGCGGGCTGCTCGCTCTAAAGGCCCGAGTGGGAGCTTTTGGGTGGTTCAAGAAGCAGCCAGGAGAGCGGTGGGCTGGGACCAGGGACCACGGAAGGCGGCAGTAAATGAAGTCAGAGGGAGATAACCAGCAGCTCCCACAGCGCCCCACCCTCTTCCAGCCTCATCTCTGTGGAGATCCGGTTAAAGCCTGGGTCAATCAAGACGCTCCTCTGCTCAGAATTCCCCGCTGCCTGCAGAGCGAGAGCTGAGCCAGGAAATCATTGCTGTGGTGGGGACAGCACTGCTGGAGTGACATCTTCATGCAAAAGCATCCTGGTCTTCTCACCGCCCTACAGAAGCCTCTGCTTCTCAGTTCATAAGGAAACATGTTCCCCTGACACTAATCCTGGTCAGGAGGGTTCTTATGATCTATGAGGGAAAAAAATCAAAGTCTTAAATTACATGGAAATCTATTTTGTGGAAATTTGGTAACATGTCAATCACTAGATATTTTTACACACAAGGAACTTTTGTTTTCCATCTTGCTAAATGAGTCACCTTGAAAATTAGCTGTGTTTCCTTCCTAGCCATGCTATTACAATAGTGTCTTTTGCAATCAAATGAAAGGATTATTATGAAGGTATTCTTAATAAGATAATTTCAGAGGCAGGTATATACACTTAAAATTTTATATATAGACATACTGATCGTTTTAATAAAAGATCTTGTCACTCTTGTGAAGGAGAATGACAGCCCCATGACTGGGAAGTTGGCAGAGGAAATGTCATATCCTGTGGAACAAAGCTGAGGGACCAGCTAAGTCATTAGGAGCGAGCACAGTATACACTTCTACGTGTATCTGACAGGATGCCATGAAAAATACTGTTAAGTTCCAAATAGTTCTAAACCCATCCTCATAAGTTTTGTGGTTTCCTTATCTATATCCTTTTACATAAGCAGGAGAAATGCCCATCTCCATCTAACTTACATAATCTGAATTTAAAGAAACCCCAAAGAGGCCTTTATTTCCCAGAAAGCCTCTTGTTCTCTGCCTCTGCGTCTAGTGACCTGGTCCATGACCGGCTCTGGAACAATGTAAAGTCCCACAGTGTTGTAGCTTGAACAGCTTCATGCAAACCATCCACCACCAAGACCCTGATGCCTCAGGGGGGTGTGTCAGGTGGCAACTGAGTGAGGGTGATGCTGAGGTTCAAGGCTGAACTTACATGGAACAGTGAGTAAATTACCAGGAGCTCCTGGCTGAACTGGTAAATTGTCATTTTTCTTTTAAAAACATTCCAGGGGCTTCCCTGGTGGCCCAGTGGTTGAGAGTCTGCCTGCCAATGCAGGGGACAAGGGTTCGAGCCCTGATCTGGGAAGATCCCACATGCCATGGAGCAACTGGGCCCGTGAGCCACAATTACTGAGCCTGCACATCTGCAGCCTGTGAGCCGCAACAAGAGAGGCCGCAATAGTGCTAGGCCCGCGCACCGCGATGAAGAGTGGCCCCCGCTTGCCACAACTAGAGAAAGCCCTCGCACAGAAGCGAAGACCCAACACAGCCATAAATAAAGCAAACTTCAACAAGTAAAAATAAATAAACACTATCATAAAACATTCCAGCTGTTACCTCCAAAAAGCAAGTGACATACAAAAGTGTAATCGTGGACCAGGCCTTGGACTGGGGCGCCTTTCTGGTGACGGGAGTAATTTCTCTTAGAACACCGAATGAGCAATCGTGACACTTGAATCTAAATATGTCACCTTTCTTTTCCTCAAATGGGAAATTACCTTCATAATTTAAGACAAAACTTCCCCCTGAAATGTACAGGTGTTTAATGGAAGAAGTCTCTTTTCTTCACTTTGTTGTGCAGACAGAAAAGAGCACCCACAAGACTCTGCTCCAAAGAAGAGACCCCCCCCAGGTCCGCTACTGCCACCCTGTGGGCCAACGGAGTACCACTTACCCACGTGGGGATTTGCGCTGAAGTGCTGCAAGAGTGGGTCATTCTTAAGAAGTAAATGGATGTTTTTTCCTCCTTTCCATTCCTAACACTTCATCTATCTCTTTTTTCCCCACCTCTTTTTTTTTTTTTTTTTTGCGGTACGCGGGCCTCTCACCGCCGCGGCCTCCCCCGCTGCGGAGCACAGGCTCCGGACGCGCAGGCCCAGCGGCCATGGCTCACGGGGTCAGCCGCTCCGCGACACATGGGATCCTCCCGGACCGGGGCACGAACCCGTGTCCCCTGCATCGGCAGGCGGACTCCCAACCACTGCGCCACCAGAGAAGCCCTCCACCTAACTCTTTCACAGTGAAAAAACTAGACAACATTTGATTTTCCAAGATTTGGGTCTCATGAAAGCTATTTTTTTATTTGCCATGTTCCTAGGACCTATTTCATCTTCTGTATTCACAGGTTCTAAATTTGCTGTGATTTCTTACAGCAGTGCACCCCATAGATGTGAGTGGGTGTGCAAAGCAATGCAACCCACCCAATAGATGCACAGCACGCTTCACAGGGAAATCTAGTTGAGGTAAAGGATCCAAAGGGACAAATTTTTATATGGCTGCCACGTTACATTTTAAGATACATGTTAATGTTTTCAAACCACTTTAACATCCACTGCTTGATTTTATCTTCCTGTCACATTAAGCAATGAAAGCAGATGGTAAAATTCCATTTTCATGAAGAGGGAATCCTCCAGGACTAGTTTAGTGGTGAGAACAGAATGCAAAGCAACTCTCCTGTCTCCTGGCCCAACCTTCCCAGTACATGTTCAAGACGGGGGTAATTTATCAGTCAGAACTTCAAACACCACTGTGGTGTCTTCATTGCAGCTGCAGCAGAATTCAACAGAAATTCAAAGTACCCTCACAAGGGAAAGACTGGTTGGTCAGACCAGAGCAGGGGTTCTCAAACGGGGACGCTGACGCTGAGGCACCTGAAGGGCTTGAACATGCAGTTCCCTGGACCCCATGCCCAGAAGTTTTCACTCAGCAGACCTGGGGTAGGGCCCTAGAATATGCATTTTCTAATGAGTTCCCAGGTGATGGTGGTGCTGATACTCCTGGCCTGGGGTCACCTGCAGAGCCACTGGGCTGGAGGGTAAAGGCAGGTACATCTGACACTATCTTCCCCTCACGTCAAAGAAAGACATGAGTCAGAACCATCACCTTTATTTCCCAGGTGCTTCTCCAACAAAAGGGCTGAGAGAATGTGGACAGATTTCAAAGTGTTCCCACCACATTAGTGGAAATGACCAGCAAAGTATTTAAATACTCAAACTGGGGGGGGGGGAAGTCCCCAAAACAATCTGGTCCAGGTCGGTTAAAGGATTCAGTGCTTGTCTTTGCCTTGACAGGAACATCACTGTAGAACCAGGCTGTTACTGGTTTTCATTTGTTTAAATAAGGTTCCTGATTTTAAAAGACTAGAACAGGGGTAAGAGATAGATATTCCATTAGGTAATTACATAAGATGAATAAAGAAATATGTAGGAATTAAATGAATAAGTAAATAATGTATATTATAAATTTAAATAAATTTTAATTTAAAAATTTTAACATAATTATTTATAATTATAAATTTATAGGTAATCTGAAAAATCTTCCAATTATATTCTGCAAAAGTGTATCAGATTTCTTCTCAAAAGCTTATCTGGGGCTTCCCTGGTGGCGCAGTGGTTGGGAGTCTGCCTCCCGATGCAGGGGACGTGGGTTCATGCCCCGGTCCGGGAGGATCCCGCGTGCGGCGGAGTGGCTGGGCCCGTGAGCCATGGCCGCTGGGTCTGCACGTCCTGAGCCTGTGCTCCGCAATGGGAGAGGCCACAACAGTGAGAGGCCCACGTACCGCAAAAAAAAAAAAAAAAAAAAAGCTTATCTGAAATCTTTGGGAGCCAAAAATGAATTGCTGAGGAAGTAAGTCTTAAACTGTGGTTCGTAGACCTTGGCCAAGGGAGCAAGGAAAGCACTCAGAGAAGGCTTCCTCGCTGTCCGTCAGTCTTGGGAGAGAAGAACGGTGAGAGCATTTGTAGCTACCCTGCTCTTCTCAGTCCTCTAGAACTATCATCAGGGTCTCTGAAATAAGACTCCATGGGTGTCAGCAAAGAACTGTCTTTCAAAGCCCTTGGGAAGGGCTTCCCTGGTGGCACAGTGGTTGAGAGTCCGCCTGCCGATGCAGGGGACACGGGTTCGTGCCCCAGGGTGGGAAGATCCCGCATGCCGTGGAGTGGCTGGGCCCGTGAGCCATGGCCGCTGAGCCTGCACGTCTGGAGCCTGTGCTCCACAACGGGAGAGGCCACAACAGTGAGAGGCCCGCGTACCACAAAAAAAAAAAAAGCCCTTGGGAAATTTCTCCCCCATTTCTTTGTTGGACTACCTTCAATTAGAGTCATCAGAAGAAGCACCTTCTAGGGAATGAGGACCTGAAGACTGGACATGGAGAAACACAACCAGCACATGGAAAACATGATGCCCTAGAATCACAGGTCAAATTTTTCAGGGAAGATGTGCTCAGAAGCGGGGGCAATGCAAAGGTTCTTTGTGAATTAAATGTATGGTGGCTACAACATCTCTAAGGGCATGGTGGGCCAAACATCATGACACCACGTCCCATCACCTCTGTGCTCTTGTCTGCCAGTGCTCGGGACTGAAACACCCAGATCACAGGACCAGCAAGATGGTAAGGATGCCCTGCATGCAGAGCGTGGAGGACAATGGAATGGGTATTAGAGCTAGGAAACCGTGGTCCCCAAGTCAAAAGAACAATCCCTAATAGGATAGTCTGGAAACACTGAGAATGAATGATAGTAGGAAGAGTAAAAGAAACAACAAAAAAATCTAAGGTAAAACACAGCACTAGAGAAAACATGCCAAAGGCCACCTTCTCCTGCGGAGGGTCCAGGAAGTATCTGCTGGGGAGAGGCACAGTCAAGCTCGCCAAGAGAGAAACAGCAAAAGGCAGGCAAATGGGTCCAGATGCCGTCCCTCTGAGTACCTGTGGAGGATGCTCTCAACACAAGCATGGTGGCAAGCTGTAGGTGACCCACAGTGCAGTTAGAGGGCAGCACACGATCAAGAATGAGTGACCTTAGCCCTACTCACAAACGTGGCCGACTCCATGCAGGGCATGATAAATGGCAGAGAAATGGTCAGTATCTCTGCTTTCGCCTCTCTTCCTAGAGGCACTGAGCATTTTTGTTTTCTTCTGCTTTGGACAGACTGGTAATTATTTGCGTGCCTTACTGGTAGTTCTCTGTATGCCACCATACTCAGAACAACAAGAGGAAAAGTTTGATTGAATAAGTGATATTGGGATGACTGAACAACAATTTGGAAATAAGATTAAACACCTTACACCATATACAAAAACAAACTCAAAATCAGGAGTTACATGTTGAATGTTAGGAAAACTAGAATAAATTATAATTGGCTATCAGGGGTTTGATGAAACAACTTTCTAAAATTTGAAGCAGTTAAAATAATAGAAGAAACAGATTGATAAATTAAAATTTACATGCAAAACATAAACATCAAGACAACACTTATAAATGGGCAATAAACAAGAACAGATTTAAAGAGGAAAACAAAT